GCCCCTCGCGCTTGCTCCCCAGCTGCGGCTGAAAGGGAGGCCTCCCCGATCCCCGGCGCTCCCTCACCGGAGCCGTCCTCGGCGGGGAGGCCGCCAAGCGTCCGCGCGGCGGCGAAGGGGCTCCCCCCGACCCACACACCCCGCGCGGGCAAAGGGGCCGCCGGACTACAGCGCCCAGAAGGCCACGCGAAGGAGCCGGTGACGTCACGCCCCGGGGGAGCCCGGTGGAATCGGGGGGGGGCATCGTCCTCGAAAGGCCACGGATGGGGCTGCTCCGCTCCCGGCCGCGATGCTGGCGCGCCCAGAGGGAGGCTCGGAGGTGCCCCCCCCGCTCCTTCCCTCCCTCCCTCGCCCGGCCGGCTGGTGTTTTGGTGACATGAATACGCTTTAAAATAAAAACACCCACAGAACCGCCCGCCACTTTTGGCGTGTTTGGATTTTTAAAACCATAATATTTGAGTTCACCGCAGACCGTGCCGCTCCCACCCGCCGTGAGAGAGACCGAGCCACACGCTTCGAGGTAGGACGGGCTGCACAGGTACCCACCGTGTGTATCAGGATGTACAGAAACACCACACCTCCCCGAGGGGGTGTGTGTGCGTGCGTGTGTGCGCGCGTGTGCGTCGCTCTCTCTCTCTCTCTCTGTGTGTGTGTGTGTGTAAGCACAGGGAAGCCGGGTATTGCCGCTAAAACCTGCTTTCCCCAGCCAGCAAGGTACAGCCTCCCCCTCCAAGCGCCAGAAGCCTTTGGCCCTCCAGTCCCATCCCTGACCATCACACACACGCAAAGGGCACCTGCCCTCGTCCGCACCACGGAAATGCTGAGCCAAGGCCTGGGGACGGCCACCCGCCCAACAAAAGGGGAGCCCTCCTGTCACTCACCAAATGTCGGTTGCTGCCGCCGCCGCCGCCGAGGCAGGCTCCTCAGGGGTCCCACATCACAGCCCCCCCCCCGAACCTGGCGACCTCCCTCCCTGCTCCAAACTCCAGCAAGCTGGGCCTGTCACTGACAGGCTAGGCAAGGGAAGGGAAGGGAAGGGAAGGGAAGGCGGCCGGCTGCAGCCCAGGAAGGGCAGGGCCCCGCCAGCCAGCCTCGCTCCACCCTGGAATGCCAGCAATGTGGAGCACGCGGCGGCAAGCATGACTTCAGCCTGTGCCCCACGAGGCCCTGGAAATATCAAAACAACCACTTTGGGATGGCTCCAGGCAAGCGCTCAGTTTAGAAGCCCAGCCAGCTGCCCGCCGGTTTTGTTTACTGCGTTCCAAGGGAGAGCCTTGTCCACCCCCCCACCCCCGAGGATGGTCCAGTCCTCGGGACCCTTTAGTCCAAGAGCAGGGCCCGAGGGGGGGACGGGTGGCTCACAAAACTGGACGTTGTTTTGCAAGACTGGCTAGAGAGGTCAATATTCTGCCTCTCTCGTCCAGCCAGAAGATGGAGCAGGAGATTCGGGATGCTCCCTGGAAGGTGTGGGGTGTGCTCTTCCTGACCCCAGGGTGAGTCAGGCTGGGATGCACTGGCGTTTGGAGCAGGTCCTGGAGCCAGGCAGAGAAAAGGGGCTGGAGCCCAAGGAAGAGACCTGCCAGCCCCTCTCATGGCCCCCTGCCCCTCCACGCCCCTCCAGCCCCAGGCCATTCTCCCCGGAGAGAGAGAGGAACTGAGCGAGCGGCCGGGGCTCTCTGGGAACAAGCCAGGCGGCCTCTTTCGTCCCAGAGAGACTCGTGGCCCAAGGAAGCGACCCAGAACCTCACCGATGGGTGGGTTTCCTTCAGGAAGCTCGCCGGTCACCTTGGGCCCCTCTGCATGGACTGCATCACCGGGTTCGCAGAGGAGAAGGGCCAGGCTTATCGTTTGTTTGTTCGTTTGTTTGTTTTATAAATTTACCCCGCTTTTCTCCTTGGAAGGACCCAAGTCAGCTGGAGCTGATTGTGGGAAAGGGCAGATGTTAAGGTCGCAAAGAAAGAAAGATGGGAGTATCAAATCAGCTGCCAAGTTTCAAAAAGTCTTAAATATGGTCTCCATTAAGGTTAAATACCCTACTTTGCATACGGTATTCTAATACGGTACATATCACAGCACACTGAGTGGAACCACCTCAGTGGCCACACAGAGAAGCTGGAAACATAGTGGATTATTTTTCATTTTTGTTTTTAGCTGGGAAATCTCCTTTTTTAGAATCCTAGAATCATAGAGTTGGGAGAGGTCTATAAGGCCATCGAGTCCAACCACCACCCCCCTTCTTGGCTCAAGGCAGGAATCCAAATCAAAGCAGATCTGACAGGGGGTTGGCTAAGTTTCTCTTGAAGGCCTCCAGCCTTGGAGGGCTCGGCATCTCCCCCTGAGGCCAGGGCTCCCATGGTTGCACTGCTCTAACAGCTAGGCGTTTTCTCGAAGGCTTTCACGGCCAGGATCCGATGGTTGTTGTAGATTTTTTGGGCTGTTTGGCCGTGTTCTGAAGTTAGGAGTTTTTTCCTGACATTTGACCAAAATCTGGCTTCCTGTTAATTAAGACCATTGTTGTGTGTCCTGCACTCTGGGATAATGGAGAACAGATCATTTCTCTCCTCCGAATGGCAGCCTTTCAAGTATTTGAAAAATGCTATATCTCCATTCCGTTTTCTTTTCTCAAGGCTAAACATGTTCAGTTCTTTTTCTCTTAGGCTTCGCTTCCAGCCCCCTGATCATCATCCTTGTTTCCCTCCTCTGAACTTGCTCCAGTTTGTTGGAATCCTTCTTCAAGTGTGGTGTCCAGAACTGGACACAAGACTCAAGGTGGGTCCTAACTAGTGCTGAACAGAGAGGGACGACTAGCATGTCATGGGATCTGGAGAGTATAGGGTACTTCTGTTAATGCATCCTGAATTTGCTTTTGCCTTTTTTTGCAGCCACATCACACTGTTGGTTCATATTCCGCTTGTGATCTACGACAAATCCAAGATCTTTCTCCCTCGTAGTATTACCGAGCCAAGTATCCCCCACCTTATAATTGTGTATTTGTGTGTTTTTCCGCCCTAGGTGTAGAACTTGACACTTTTCCTTGTTATATTTCGTTCTCTTGTTTTCATGCCCCTGCTTGAGCCTCTCCTCCGGCCACAGCTTGTTCCTCGTCATCCTTTCCACTCATCCACCCTTTTGATTGTGCAACCTGTGGACTGAGCCAGTAGGAGGGGAAGGTGGCCGTTCCCTCTTGCCCGTAAACATGAGCCTGGAGCCCATAGCTGGTGCTCCCATTTGGCCTGCTCCGTGCAGCTGGGAGGCAGCAGCAGCAGCAGCAGAGTGAGTCCTGCCTCCTGCCGGATGACAGCTTTATGGAGAGGCTCACAGGCTTGGCTTCTGGCCGGAAGATGAAGGCAGCCTGCAGGGATTGGCAGGGAGAGCTCTGCCCGGGGTGACCCTTTAGCCTAGTCTGGCCTGCCCTGCCCAGGAACCTGGGCCTAGCAGGGTGGCCCCGTGTCTTCTTTTAGGGGTGAATAGGCCTCCTTCTGAAGGCCTCTCCACTTCTTTCTCTTATTTAAAGATCACAAGAAGGTGGGAGATCAGGAACCTTGAAGGGGCCCATCGGCCACTTTGAGCAGCCGCCCGGCAGAGGCCACTGGATAGACCTTCTTGCTCACTTGCCGGAGAGGGGCTCTAATTCTGTGTCTTCCTAGTTTTGCACCTGGACATTAAGCCAACCCTGTGCAATTTGATGCAAACGTCCTTCTTGCCACCCTTTTCAGTGATGTGTAAGCAGCCAAGGGCATCAGCCGCATCCATCCCAGGAGGTGGGGGTCTCTAGTAAGAACCTCAGAAGAGCCTGTGCTGGATCAGGCCAAGGATCCATCTAGTCCTGAGCTTCCTGTATCTCACCGTGGCCCCACCAGATAGATGCCTCTGGGAGCACACGAGACAATCAGATCCCTGCCTCCTGATACTACACTCCTGCCTCTGGCCTTTGGAGGTCCCTTCCTTCTAAGCCTGGAGATTATACATCTCCATCATGGCTTGTCACCTGCGATGGACTTTTCCTCCAGGAATCTGTCGGATCCCCTTTTCAAGGCATCTAGGCCAGATGCCCTCACCGCATCCTGTGGCAAGGAGTTCCACAGACTAACCACAGGCTGGGTCAATAAATGTTTTCTTTTGTCCTCACTCTCCCAACGCTCCACTGGAGTGGATGTCCCCTGGTTCTTTTATTGCATGAGAGGGAAAAGAGTTTCCCTCTATCCACTTGATCCATCCCATGCAGAATTGTATACGTCTCAATCAAGACCCCCTTCAGGCGCCTTTTCTCCAGACTCAAGAGCCCCAAATGCTGTCGCCTTTCCTCATCAGGGAGGTGCCCCAGCCCAGTCATCATTTGAGTCGCTCTCTTCTGCTCCTTTTTTCAGTTCCACCATATCTTTTTTGAGCTGCGGCAACCAGAACTGTACACAATACTCCAGGCCCAGCCTTGCCAGCGTTTTGTACAAGGGCATTAGAATGTTGGCTGTTTTATTTTCAATCCCCTTTTTAATGATCCCTAGGATGGAATTGGCCTTCTTCACTGCTGCCACACACTGGGTTGACCCTTTCATCAAGCTGTCCACCAGCACACCAAGATCTCTTTCCTGATCTGCCACGGACAGCCCAGAACCCATTAGCTGATAACTAAAGTTTTGATTCCCCCCCCCCCCATGTCCATTACTTTACATTTTCTTATATTGAAATGCATTTGCCTTTTTGCCACCTGTTCTCCCAGTTTGGAGAGATCCTTCTGGAGCTCTTCAAAATCCCTTCTGGTCTTCACCATCCTGAAAAGTTTCATGTCCTCTGCAAACCGGGCCACCTCCCTGCTTATCCCTGTCTCCAGGTCATTGAGGAACAGGTTGAAAAGCACTGGTCCCAGGACGGATCCCTGGGGCACACGGCTCTTCACCTCTCTCTGTGGTGAAAATTTGCCCATTGACACCTATTCTCTGTTTCTTGGTTCTCCACCACTTCTCAGTCCATAAGAGGACCTGCCCTCTCATCCCCTCACCGTGGAGTTCTCTCACCAGCCTTTGGTGACGGACTGTGTCAACTGCCTTCTGAAAATCCAGACAGACCATATCCACTAGTTCACTCTCATCCATGTGCCTGTTGACCTTTTCAAAGAATTTCAAATACTGTAATTTGTGAGGCAAGACCTGCCTTTGCGAAGCCATGCTGATTCTCCCTCCGCAAGGCTTGTTCTTCTCTGTCTTTTAAGATTTTATCTTGGATGAGGCTTTCCACCATCTTCCCTGGAGCAGATGTTAGGCTAACTGGCTTGTAGTTTCCTGGGTCCCCCCTCCTCCTTCCCTTTAAGATCGGTGTGACCTGTAATAATCCTTGGGTGGATGCCATCGGGGCCTGGTGACTTATTGATCTTCAATTTATCAATTAGGTCTAAAACATCCTCTCTTTTAACCTGTATCTGATTTAATTAATTAGTCAGGAAGGGGCCGTTCAGGCTGCTGAATCTGCCCAAGGTCTTCTGTCGTGAAGACAGATGCAAAGAACTCATTTAATTTTTCTGCCGTCTCCAAGTCCCCCTTCCCCTCCCTCCCCATCCAGAGGGCCAGCTGCTTCTCAGGCAGGTTTCCCGCTTCTAACATATTTAACGAAGCTTTTATTATTCCCCTTTATATTGCTTCATATTACTTTCCTTGTCTTTGGAACAGCCTCCCTCCTGAGATTCGCATGGCCCCGTCGTCGCTGGGCATCTTTAAATGCCAATTGAAAACCTGGCCGTTTAAGCAAGGCTTTCCTCCACCTACCTGGCTGTTTAAGCAAGGCTTTCCTCCACCCGCCGTCTGAATTTTTGTTATCTTGTGTTTTCTCCCATCTTGGATCATTGTTTATTTAGTAATATATTGTTATGATTTTAAATTGTTACATGATATGTTGTTACCCACCCAAGTAGTCTATATGCCTAGATGGGTGGGCTATAAATGTAATAAATAAATATAAATAAATATTCTTTGCCTTGTATATCCTCTTCTTACTTTTTTTTTGCCAGAGTTTGTGCTCCTTTTTATTTTCCTCATTTGGGAATTATTTCCATTTATGGACAAACCCCTCCTTGCCCTTTAAAGCCTCTCTGACTCCCCTCGTTAACCATGCCAGGACCCTCTTGGACTTAGTTGAGCCCTTCTTCCTTTGCAAAATACACTTCCGCTGAAACAGGCTCCACGCACTCTGGAGAGACTGGATTCTTTTTAGCTTCCTTTTCCACTCCTTTCTAACGACTTTCCTCATCTGAGGGAAGTCCGCCCTTCGGAAATCAAGGGGTTTTGTGTCAGATTGGCTTGACACTCTCTGCCCAACATGCATGGCGAAAGAGATCAAAGCGCGGTCGCTATTGCCTAGCGGCTCAGTGACATTCACGTCCCCAACCAGGTCCCGAGTCCCACATAATACTAAATCCAGCGTGCCCTGTCCCCTGGTGGGCTCCGTGACAAGTGGGTCCAAGGCACAGTCCTTTAGCCTCTCTTCCTTGACCTGAGCACGCCTTGAGCCGGCCTCTCCGGCCGATCTGCCTCCTGTTCTCTAGAGCGCTGGCTTGGGAGGCAACTGAGTCAAAGATTCCCACACCCCTTTCCCGGGTGAGTCATTCATGCGCAGCCTTCAGGCTGGCCAGTGCTCAGCCCCTCCCTCTGAGGAAGAGATGAGCCTTCCTTCCTGTGGAGAAATCCTGAACCTTCTCCAACCTGACGTAAGAATCCTGCAAAAGCAAGGGTTGCCTGAATGGGTGCCGGCGGAGCGCTCTGGCTAGGTGCAATGGCATCACACACACACACACACACACACGTGCCCACTGGCTGGGAGGGGGTTGCTGTCATGGCCACAATGGATGCGTGGGTCATCCCCTCCTTAAAACGTGGCTCAGGCCAACCTTTATTTATTTATTTATTTATATGCCACCCATACTACCCAAAGGTCTCTGACCTTTCATGATCTAGGCAGCTCTTCAAGTTGCAAAGAGCAACTGCATCAAGCAAATGTTCCTGTACAGCATGATTTCCATGTTGTATGCTCTTCAGCTCAGAAGAGCAGGCAGCATGGAAAACAAACACAACCATCACCCAGAGGGATTTTTGAAACTAAAAACAAAGCAACCCACCTCCCACCAAAAACAACCCGCAACAGCTGCATATGTAAAAATATTAATTGCACTGCATTCAGATGCCAAAAGAGATTACAGATACTGCCCAGCACTAATAATAGCAGCTCATTGGCAGCTAGACAGAGAGCAAAGTTGGTAACCCATGCAACTATTTTAAGGAGTGCGTCCATAGTTATGCCTTGCAGACCAAGCAGCCATAAACATGGCCAGCTAATTTTAAGACGCCGCAAGCTTAAGGGCTGCCCCGTCCATCAGCAGCAGCAGGTGCTAAGGGTGAACCAAAACAGGTGGTAGTGCCCCCCCGGGGGGGGGGGTTTAGAGAATATTGCTGTTTAAACAAAAGACAACCCCGGATGTAGACAGCAAGGCCTTGCTTAAAAGGCAGGCCAGATATATCCCGCGCCCCTGGTATTTTCCCCTGTGATATTTTCCAGATGTACACACACATTAGGACGTTTCAGCCAGCTGCTTCCTTCTTGTCTCTCTGAAGTGAGTTCCCGCTTTCCTAACAGGCAGGAAGGGAGGGAGAAATCCAGAGCAGCAGCAGGCCTGGGTGGCTTTGCAACCAGATCAAGACAAGAAGGGCCCCAAGGACTCCTTTTGCAACAACAAGGCTGTCGCCGCCACCGCTGTCTTTAAGCCTACAAAAGACTTCATCCTTTATCCATCTTGGCTCTCCCCCCCCCCTTTGGCTGTATGTACTCGAGAAGGGCAGCTGCTCCCTCTGCTGAAGCACTTATTGCATCCAAAGATATTGAAGGAACTGGCTGAGCAGATTGCAGAACCACCGTTTAGTATTTTCTTGAAATCATGGAGGATGGGCGAGGTTCCCCGAGGACTGGAGGAGAGCTAACGTCCCGTTCTTCAAAAAGGGCGAAAGGGGGAACCAGGGAAACGGGTCAGCCTGATGTCAATCCCAGGGAAAATTCTGGAGAAGATTTTGAAGCAGTCATTCCACGTGCACCTTGAAAACAATGCAGTGAAAACTAGAAGCCAACACGGATTTGTCAAGAACAAATCCTGACAGACTAACCTGACTTCATTTTGTGATCAGGTCACCTCCCTGACAGGCAGAGGGAATGCGGTGGACGTAGCATATCTTGACTTCAGCAAAGCCTTTGACCAAGTGCCCTCCATGGTATTCTGATTAGCAAGCTAACTAGGTGTGGGCTTGATAGATCAAGTGTCAGGTGGACACACCGTTGGTGACATAATCGTACTCAGAGAGGGTGATGATTAATGACTCCTTCTCCAACTGGGAGGAGGTGACCAGTGGGGTACCCCAGGGATCAGTCCTGGGTCTGGTGTTCTTCAGGTAACTGTGTGTTTGGTTTGTTTCCAGCCATCTTGTAACTGTGTGTTTGGTTTATTTCCAGGGTGCAGGATTTTGCACGTCTCCCTGTTGAATTTCATTCTGTTGCTTTCGGCCCCGTGCTCCATCCTATTAAGGTCATTTTGAATTTTGTTTCTGACTTCTAGGGTATTAGCTATTCTGCCCAATTTGGCATCATCGGCAAATCTGACAAGCATTATCCGCACTCCCTCATCTAAGTCATTAATAATAATGCTGAAGTCCACCAGGCCCAGGACTCAGCCTTGGGGTACCCCACTGGTCACCTCCTCCCAGTTAGAGAAGGACCCGTTAATCATCACCCTCTGAATACGATTCTGTAGCCACCTGACACTTGATCTATCCAGCCCAGCTTGCTAATCAGGATATCATGCAGCACTTTGTCAAAAGCTTTGCTAAAGTCAAGATATATTATGTCTATAGCATTCCCTCTATCAGGGAGGTTACCTGATCAAAAAATGAGATCAGATTAGTCCAGCAGGATTTGTCCTTGCCAAATTAGTGTTGGCTTCTAGTTATTACTAATAATTATTTATCATACTTCTTCCTAGCCCCAGTTTGAGCCATGCGATATGTGAACTGTCCTTTCTGGGAAAGGGCGCAGAGCTCCATCACTCTCCTGCTTCTGGCATCTCAGCCCACGTGTCATCTTTGTCCAGAGCCTTCTCTCTGGGCTACAGCAACACAGCTGGGTGCTCCTCGGTTACTGCCCCTCGGCCGCCGCCCTGCCCCAGGGAGCCCCTTCCCCTCACCCCACAAGTGCCCCACTTCAGCCCTGCTTGAAGAGCCACAGGAGCAAGGCCTGCACTGAGCCCCGGACGCCTGGGGCCAAAACCCGCCGGGAGGGAGCATCAGCCCCCTCAACTCGCCCCACTGGTCAGAAGCCACCCACCCACACCCTGGCGGGCACGCAGGTCAGGGGGAAGCTGCCGCCCAGCCTGCCTCATTTGTTGCGGGGCACTGGGGAGTAGAAGGCAAGGCCTGAGGAAAGACACACTCACACCCCAGTCTGCGGGTGGAGCGCTCCGCCCAGCCCGGCGAGCCCCCTGCCCCCGCGGCCCAAAGTGGCAATGCCCCACCCTGTTCACCTGGGCACCAGCGTCAGAAGGAGCAACCAGGCTGCACACCGGGGGCGCCCCTTGGAGGCTAGGCTTTTATTCGAAAGTCTTGTACAAGGCTGAGCCCCCTCCCCCCCACCCTCAGCCCCCTTGCGGTCCACTGCCACTCCCCATTCCAAAGGCGCTCCCTCGCCCCACGGCAGAGTTCAAGAAAGACCTTTGGTGACGTCTTGGTTGCCCCACGGCTCCGGCCACCCCAAAGGGGCTGCGGGCAGGGACTCTTGGCATTGGGATCGGCAAAGGTGGGTGCCCTTGCCACGTTGGCCAGCAAAAAGAGGGGCAGCCCCCCAGGTGGACGCCAGCCCTTCCTTCCTTCCTTCCTGGTCACCCCTCGCCTCCCCCAGGATCAGGGGGGCAGCGGCTCTGGGTGGGGGCCTCCAGCCAGCCCTCTGTGCCCCAGCGTCCTCCCAGGCACAGCCTGAGCCCCAGAGTGTGCTACAGCCTTTGGGCGCCCCACTGCCTGCCTGCCTGCCCGGCCACTGGCGGGGCCTCCGTCCTTCTTTCGCGCCCTCTGCGGTCCTTGCAAAGACCCTGCCCGGGCACTCCCGCTCCCAGAGGTCCCTTTCCAGCTGCCGGTCCTGCATGCCGGAGCCTCGGGCCCATGAGAGCCCCCCCCTTAGTGTGGGTCGGCCCACTTCAGCTGGTGCCTCTCGCTATTCGGGGAGTAGGAGCCTGTGAAGCTGAAGGGCGACTTGGCCCGCATGTTCCGTCCCGACGTGATGAGGGCCCCGAAGCCGTGCTGGTGCGAGAAGGCGTAGCCGGAGCGGCGGGAGATGCTGCGCCTCAGGCGGCGCTGGGGCAAAGGTGGCGGCGGCCGCTTCTGCAGCTCCCGAACCCGGCACAGGACCTGCGAGCAGAGGTGGAGGACCTCAGTGTGTGGGGGGGAACCGGGGGGGAGGCAGCAGAGCTGCATGCTGGGCCCCAGTGCGCAAAAGGGAAGCCGCCCTCCAGACCCAAGAAAGGGCGGGCAGGTCCAGGGCACCTGCTGGGTCACAAGCCAGCACAGCGCAGCTCACAGGTGCCACGGCTTCTGGCTCAGACCGGGAGTGGCAGATGGGGGCACACACACCTGCCCCACTCCACTCCAAAGGGGTGTGTGTGTGTGTGTGTG